TTATATCAACCCATTCGCTCTTGAAAATTTTGCCGCAAAAGCGTCTTGTAGGTAGTTTGAGCCGTTTTCTTGTCACTGTAGAGCTAAATCTTACCACAAATCCGTTTACAGGTCGTAGACTTCGCGGCCGGATCGAGATCCAAATATTCGCTTCCGAAATTCGAGCATGTGCAGAAAGCAAAATTTTGAGAGGGTTCAAAAATGACACGCAGTCTTAACTGTTTCTCTTCGCTTTCTGTCTTCCACTCTTTTTTCGCTTTTCTTGCCTCAATTTTTTTCTTTTTGCTAAGGGCGTTTAGTAGGCTTCATTTTGGTGGGAAATGTTTCTGGGAAAGCTTTCAGGGTCTTAGGATTAGATACGTAGGTCGGTTGTGGAACAAAATTTTCATGGGAATTTTCGGGTTAAAGGTACATGTTTTTTTTCCCTTTTTCTCTGGCCTCCGTGACCAGTGCTCAGTGCTATGGTCTTAAAGATCTCTTTACCCTGCACAAGTTAGCTGACAAACTTAGCGTCCTTGGCCGTTAAAATTGATGACGTCAAAAGCGGTAGAAGGAGCGTGGATTCACACGGGCGAATGGGTTAAGAAAGTCAGGGTCCTTAATTTCTTTTGTTAAGGAACTTAGCAGGTACATGTCATCATAGAGGTCATAATAATCTGATGAAAATTATTCCTTTTGTTTGTTTTCTTTGATTTTAAGTCACCTCTATGGATTCATCACCAAACGCTCAAGAAAATAACGATTCTCCATACGTGAATGCTGTCTTGAGGTTTGGAATAGCTATAGAGCTCATTTCGCTTTACTAATTTCAACTGAATTACTTTCGTTCTTTTTAACGTAGCTTGGAGTCTAGCAAGGTGGTCCCCAAAGAGTCGGAAATAGGCTCTTCGAGATGTGGAGTCTGCCTTATTTGTATGCCCGCATTCGGAATATCGATTTTATAGTAAAATGGTAGCAAGATTCGGAATTGAAAGTATGCTCGAGATGCAGGATCCCGAAAATAACCATCAGGATTACGGGATTGCGCGAGATAAGGTTCGGGATGTGGGTTTCCCTTGTTTGAAGCTCGGGATTCGGGATTTAAAGCACAACGAGGGCAAATTTCGGGATTAAAAGTATGCACGGGATGCGGGATCCTGAAAATAACCCTCGGGATTACGGGCTTGTGCGAGAATTTGGGGCTGGATGACAGGATTGAAGAACCCGATTGAGTACCCTCCAGCGAGAATTAACAATCGAAATGTCGACAAATAAACTAGGACTAACTAAACTAATAACTGCGATCGCTTTTAAAAAATAATGCATTCGTTCTACCTATACTAACATCCATGCTAGTTCAGTAAATGAAAAGCGTCGTTATAATTAAGGAAATAGTTAAACCTGTGATGGATCTAGACACTTAGTTAAGTGAAGGCCTGACCGCTCAACAGGACCAAGGGGCAGTTTTACGAAAGTTCCGATAGTTAACTTGCCCGGAAAGATCGAGTTTTCAAAAGTTTTGCAAATTAAAAAACTATCAGTTTACCCAACAAAATGCACTGGCTTGGTAGCTATAACTATTTGCAAAAATGTTGGGACACTCCGACGAAAAAACAACCTTTCTTAATGTTTCAAATCGCTGCTAGTCACAGGTCTGTGAGGTATAATACTAACCTCCCTGCTCCCTTCCATTCAAAGTTGTTCCTCCAAGTTTGAGCCTGTTCTTGTATTGCTAGCAACTTTGATAAGGGGTGAAGGGGGAATCACAAGCACAATTAAGTTCATGGACGGGCCATTTAAGCCAAAATACGGTACAGTGTCTCAAGTACGTTTGCAACTGGCTGTAGAACCGCGGCTGCTATTCTTTAGATGGAGTGTTTTCACATGACGTCACGGCGGCCATATTGGTGTTCCAAAACAATAAAATGGCGGCTATGTTTGTGTACCAAACCAGTCCCGTGGGAGTTGAACTCTTTTCTTATGCAAACGCTTCTTTTGTTCCAATAAATTTGCTTATTAGATGCTGACCACGTGAGTGAAAACACTCTATAAAAACGTAAAGGACCCAAGCCCCCCGAACCGAAACTTTGTCCTAAATAGCTAAGAGATTCATAACTAATTGATCGTACACACACTTACAAAGGACTAGTTTGCTTTTACATGCAACAGAATGTCCAAGCTGGTTCACAAGAGGCAGAGATCTCCTTGGCTTTGGAATGATGTCATTTATAGCTTAACGCCTTCGGGAAGAGAACATGATAAATGCCTTAGGATTCTTCATGATTTCACAAACAAGGTACTTTTTTACTTTACTTTTTAGCAAATGGCTGGTTTGAATCATTGATGACACATTGTCAACTCGTCCCACACCTTTATTTCCCTCAACCATGTCTTATATCTTAGTACCGTAGATGCTCGAATAAGCGCCCATTTGATTTTTTTGACTCGAGAGGGGGGCGCTGATTTGAGGGGAGACCCTTATTATATAGACTTGAGTTTTAGTAGCCAAATTCGCTGTCCTTGTGAGATGTCATGCCACATTCATTGAAGATATACGTACTAAATCCTATATTAATATAAACAATAAGGGGGCGCTTATATGTAGTATCAGATTTAAAACAGAAAGGTTTTATGAATAATTATTCTTTCTGGGTGGTATTTCTTAGCGCGAAACTCCGACACAAATACCTGGTAGCAGGCGGTCATATCAGCTGACTGAAGTAAACTATTATATTCCATTAGGTCATTGATGAGCGAATCGCTGACCGAGCTGCCAAGAACAACAGTTCACAAAAAGAGGAGGAAGACGGGGAAACCAGTAAAGAAGAGGATGTGTTTAAAAGAAGGAAGCGTCTGGCATTTCTCGATCTGTTGCTGGAAGCGTATGACAAAGGGGAAATTTCACGGGAAGGAGTTAGAGAAGAAGTGGATACGTTTATGTTCGAGGTCTGAATGCTTGTGATACTTGTGCTTTTGCTCGTTGTCTTTTGTTTTTGTCATTATTGGCGTCGATGTTTTGCATTTTGTTTCGGCTGTTATAATATGTGACGAAATTGAAATACTCGGTCGCATTATAGAAAAGAACTTAGAGCATACTTCTCACTCACCTACAACCTAGCCTGTGCATAGACGTTTTTGTATTTTTCTTTTTGAAAATCGACGAGCGCGGAGCGCTTCCCCACCCCCCCCCCCTTGCGCTAGCGGTCAATAAATCCCCCCCCCCCCCGATTTCATTTCCATACGCGCGCACGATTATCTCTAAAGAGAAAATAGAAGGTCTACGAACAGGCTACCTACACCCATGACGTGATAATCAGGCCCCTCTTTTTCAAACGGTGAATAACTATATCCCCTGGATTATTCATCATTCACTTAATGAAGCAATTGGTTTTCCTCATACTAATCCACTGGATGTTAATTTATCCGGTGGTAGCGCTGTCCAACTTTGGAACAATTGGGACCAGATCAGAAATAAAACAAGGCCCAACAAAACTTAATTGGCCACAGAAACGTAACTATAACTTTCACTTAGAGTTGAAGTTAAAAAAGCCTTCTAACGTCCGCACAGTGTGTCTAAATGAGACTCATATTTACCGACTGTCCTATTAGTGAGGGGTAGTGTGACGTCATGGTACCATAGTAGCAAAATTTCTGGATTTTCAACAATCTTTCTTGAAAAAGACGGCATTTGCATTGTCAACAGTTCGTGGAGATCCAGAAATTTTGCTACCATGGTAACATGACGAAACGACTTCCCCTCTCTATTCAGGACTCGGCCCATATTCAATCCATTAACCCTTTAAGCCCCAATATCCACAAACAAATTCTCTAAACTGATCTCTATACATTTCCTTACAGAATTAGTTGGGAGAAATTAATAAAAGATCAGAGATTTTTCTTTTTGTGATCATTTGATTAACTCTCATAGATGTTGCACTTGACAATCTATGGATATTGTTAGGAGAAAATTGACGTTGGTCACTATTGGGATTTAAAGGGTTAAAATATTACTTGACAATGTTTACTTGAGTGAGCAACTGATCATCAGCCAAGGTTCCGAGGTTATGCAAGTCTCCAGGGACATCCTTTAATCGCCTTTCTGTTCGTTTAAGGGTCATGACACCACAGCTGCCGGTATTTTGTTTGCCTTATACCTCCTTGGGCGCCATCCAGAAATTCAGCAAAAAGTACAGGAAGAGGTGGATCTGTTTTTCGGTGAGGGAAAATCAAGAGTAAGAAGTGTGAATACTGTTCAAAAGTAAAGTCTGCGATTATTGTCTAATTGAATCGATGTTTTACAGACCGTCGCCCTGAAACACTGTCGGTGGATGATTTAAAGGACTTGCGTTACCTGGAATGTGTTATTAAGGTACTGAAATTAATATTTCATTTTTTTTTTTTTGAGTTGTGAGATTAATAGAAAGTGGGAGTCTGCCGTAATCCAAAGACTGGTTTTCCTCGATTATTTTGAATGATCAAGGTAGCTCATCTGGGCACGATAAAACCAGTCAACCTATCTGTCAGGCAATTGCCGCGGTAGCCCAAATAGTGCAGATCACCTCCATCGCCTGAACACATCTTGAGACAACTCGGGCCATCGAAGATAATCCGGACGATTATATAAAAACGGTCCGATAATATCCTCCTTGACAGGCACTTATATTCCAAGCAAGGCGCAATGGGCATTTCGCACGAACCGCTCATGTCACGAAATGCGCCGTTCGCCTCGCTTGGTTAATAAAGCGCCTGTCATGGAGGATAGCCTATATAGACTTAAGATATACCAATCATGCAAATTGTCCCTCGTTGCAGCTAGAGTTGTTTTGCGATCGCCTGAAGGAATTTTGAGACAATACGGGCGAAAATTTAGAGCTTCGGCGATACTTGCCATCCACACATTTTAACCTTATTACTTATGTTAATTTCCAGGAAGTCCAGCGGATATTTCCATCTGTTCCACATTTTGCTAGAAAGACTACTGAAGACTGTCAATTGGGTAAATAATGTTACTATGTCTTCCTTTCGACCTGCAAGCTGGGGACAACTTAACTGAGAGCCTGGGTGGGGAGGGTGGATCTCCTTTGTAGAAGCTCTAGCTTGCAAATGTCTATGAAGCCAAGCAATAAAGTCTCTAGCAGTTCTAAAAGTATCGACCCTAAGCAAGGTTATTCATGCTATGGTGAGAGGTCATGTGACGAGGAAATGACGTCATGATTTAAGTTGACTACCATATATCAGATTCACCAACCAGGGGATCCAGTAGGTCAGGGCACTGGCCACAAACATGCCAAAATTAACATCACTTAAAATGATCTTACGTAAACAGCGCGCCTTTCCCTTTTCCGCGAGCACACTCCAAGTGCCTGGGGCCCCGAATTCCCCTTACCCCTAACATCAGAAAGAAAAAAGTGCCCACGCATGCACAGGCTATAGCATCGACAATTTAGGAAAAGAAAAAGGATAATTCAAATTTCCTTAAATTGTAGGTGAATATTTCGCTCCGAAAGGCACAACGGTTGGGGTTTCACCAATGGCTCTTCACAGAAACCCGGAAATATGGCCAGCACCGTTGCAATTCAATCCAGATCGCTTCCTTCCAGAAAACAGCCAAGGGAGACATCCATTTGCTTTTCTTCCATTTTCAGCAGGACCGAGAAACTGCATCGGTAGGATATTAACATTTATAAAATAGACGGTTATTAAAACACGCAAAGAGGTTTAATTTCGTCATGCCAAAATTATAATCCAAAAGGACAGCTAACGTCTTCCACTAGATAATCCAGCCTTCCCTCCTTGCTCCTCGCCGTTCGCATGTGAGACGTCTTTGCTTCAGCGACAGAAATTCCATACTGATGACGTCAATTGATGTTTACATACCGTAATTAATCAATCCGGTGGTCATGGGTTTCCAAATATAAATTTGATTGATTTTTTGTTTCTCCAGGTCGATTAAGGTAAAGTATGGTGTTCTTCTACGAACGAGCTCCTGCAAAACTCAGTTGTTTAATTCTCTTAAAAGAAGAATATATTCCACGAATATTGACTGTTTTGAAGTAGATTCATCGTGTTCTCATTTGACCTTTAGCCTTTTGTCTGTCATTCTTAAACTGATAGCTAAAAAACAATAGAACTACTTCTTCGCCGACCTATCAGAGCTTCAGACCAGATTCCAGATTCCAGATAGATTTTACGTCATCAGTACGGAATTTGTGTCGCTGAGACGCAGACGTCTCTACTGCGAAACCTCCCTAGCGGCAAGGAGTGACGAGAGACGTCTGTAATCACAGGCTATCATAAGTACCTAGAGTCGTCGCCTTACAAGGCGGAGCGTCGGTTAAGAGGGATTCGCGACTGTATTTTCTTTCTTCCTTACAGGTCAGCGGTTTGCCCTCATGGAAGAAAAGATTGTGTTATCTCATGTTCTGCGCTCCTTTAACGTGGAGTCCACACAGACTTTTGATGAACTTTTGACATGCGCGGAGCTTATTACCCGACCTAAAGAAGGACTATTCGTCACATTAGGAAAACGCCAGTAAAGCCACAGAAGACGCGAATACAACAAAAGACATTCGTCACCGAAGAGGAACGATGCAAGAGTTAAAAATTGTACACGTTTACTTTTCAGACTACAATAATCAAAAGATACCTTAAATCACGGGCGTTTCACTAGGTCTAAAAGGCTGCAGTTTCTTTTTGATAGAGTAGGCGCCCAATTTCAGAAAACGCACCCATCCATGCCGCCAAACCTTTTAAAGCTCTCACTTCCCAGGATTTTGAGATCTTACTTATAATTAAAGGAGCTGCGTCAAAAATTTATTAATTGAAATTAAAAGTCCATTAATTGGAGCTGTCACTAAATTGTGTGGAAACGCAAAAATTGAGCTCAATACATGAAGGTATAACGAACAGCAACTACAAAAGAAGGCCTGAATGGATAAACTTGAAGATTAAAACGAAGTGCAAGTGCTGTTTATGAAAACTTGTTTGCCTAACAGTGTTTTTCAAAGTTCATTTTTGTTGTTTTTAACGTTAGATATAATGCTTTCAGAGCCTGAAATATTTATTTGATAAGAAGCTGTGATTTTTTCGTAATTACTGAGTAAATTCATCGCTAGCGTTAAGTTCCTCCCGAATGAAGACGCGCTATTGGCAATAATAGACACGTTAAGATGAGGTTTTGATCATTTTACTGCAAACGACAAACTGCGGTTTGCGGTTAACAGTTTCACGTTACCCGTCTGCCCATATTTGGGACTCAAGATTCGCGGGTGGTAGCCGTTTCGGCTGCCATGTTTGTTTTTATTTGTCCATTTACTTCTATTTTAGCTGAAAATTTGTCTCCAAAATTACGTTTTTTGAAATAGAATTCGGTGGTTCATAATCAAAAGAGTTCCAAAAACTCGCATTTCTTCTCAAACATGGGATTGTGATGTTTTAGGGTACAAAAAACCTTGCGGGAAATCACTTACCTATGGAGCGTGGTCTAGCCGTACAAACGTGGACCGCAAACCTGACGGCAAGGCCCTGGTCACGTGACTACTTGACGTTCGCGGTTAGCGGGAAATGCCGAAAAAACCTCCATCTTAAGGTCTCTAATAACCTAATGAATCGAACTTGTGACACAACCCTTCTAACGACTATTACTAGTAATAGCCTAAGTTTAGGGAGTGCGGGCGAAAATGATGGAAGGACCAAACGCTTTTGCTCCAACGCTGTGCTTTGCGTAAATTTCACTTGATATATGGTCAAAACACGCGCGATCAGAGTACGAGGAGTAGAAGGTCGAAACGCGCGTGATCAAATTGCGTTTTGGGCATTCCATTCTTTCTTAGCGCAAGTCTAAATTAATGCTGGCTACATAAACGTCGCATGCGTAATAACAACCTGGAGATTAGGATTGCGTGCTCCTCTTGTCGCCCGCAATTATATTAGCAAGGAGTGTGTTCTAATTGATCCAAGTCGCGCATATAAATTGAACAAAGTAGGGAAAACAAGACAGGTTGCGCGTTGAGTTTTATCGATTAAGCTCCAGTAGCGAAAGAGAAGTTCTCAGATCATTAGTGGTGATAATTTACTTGCACCCTGTGTACGAAAACATCTAGTAATTGTTGCGTAAATATTTTATACTTTCAACTGTTTTTCTCGTGTGGGATTTCGCTTTCTCTGCTTTAACATAAAAACGAATTCGTCAGTTTTGGAGTAAAGATAAAAAACAAATGAAACCAAAAACAACAGAAGAGAAAAAACTGTGCAAAAGCAAATCTTTCTTAAGTTTTTTTTTGTTTAAATTCGTTCCTCGCTTCCATAAAAACTGTTTTTTTTTATTCTTATAGTCAGCTGTCTGTGAAATAGAATATTAAAAAATATGACAAACGTGTACTTCAACAGCAACACATTTCCTTGTTGCTCTATATATTAGATGGAGTTTGTTTTCTTTGAGTTTTTCTCTAGATTTTGTATGCTGTTAACAAACTTCCTTTTCAGACAATTAATTGCGTTTTACAAGCTACGATATCATAGTATCCACGAGTACTCTAGTACTTCTTGATAAAAGGGTAGGAAGCAATGATAAACTCTAACACAAAAACTTACTTGGCTTGAATATAATCAAAGGACAAATTCTGGCGAAGACACAGTACTGTATACGAACATGTTTTTTTTTACCTCCACGCTCGTNAAAAAGAAAACACGGAAAATTTGAAGAAGTGTAAATAAAAGCGAATTGCTGATTGTGTTTTGAAAACTTATTAGGCAAAGCCCAAAAGTTTTTCAACGTTCATATTTGTTGTTTAAAACGTTTCATATAATGTTTGGGAGGTATATTTGTGGGATAAGAAAAGAAGCTGTGTTTTTGTCATTTACAAGTTATTTCTTCGATAACGTTTAAGTTTACTGTAGCAGTTTGCGCGCGTAATTCGCAATATTGGCAAATTAAATGTACTTGACTGACAGCCGTGAGGCTTTCTTAAAAGATATTTTGTTATCATCTTCAGAATATTCAAGGAAGAGCGACTCAGATGATTCTGCAAAAGTATTTACTTTACCACCCAAGGTCAGGCAAACATTAAACGTTCCATTAGCAAGCTAACTTAACGCAATTAACTTCCTACTACAAACAAAAAATCTAGAATGCAGGTAAAGTGATGTAAGCGGCATATCACGTCCTGGTCTTGGCCCTTACGCTTTGTTTCCCTGTGCAGACTAAGCTACAGCATCAACTAATCTTTGGTAAGATCAACGGAGCAATATAATGGCAAATATTTGTTTTAACACAATAAGAAAAATAAGACGAGCCTTATATTACATAATGCGCGCCCTAAACAAGACGCAAACTGTACCGTATGAAGACTCTATGAAGAGCATTTCGTCTGAAACAAGATGGGCTGTTTCCAGATAAGATGCGTCTTTGATAAGTCCTGTTGTATTTCAGACGTTTTTAATGTGCCAGTATGTAATAGCTTCTTATTAAGGGCGCGTCTTAATTTCCCTCGTTAAAGTAGTCCCGATGATCATCTTGTGTTTACTTTCTTTTAATCTTTTAAAAGGTCACCTTCTTACTAACTTAAATCAGTATTGTGAGTTAGCTTTAGACACGAGTAAATTCTTACAAGAAGCCGATTATTTTAGGAAAGTTATACGTACATTCGCGAAGGAAAACAGCCATAAGACTGAGACAGTTTATTGGTGGTTTTCTTGCAAGGCAATGACAGGTTCAGTCATATGCATTGGTATCATCATGATTTATAACAACTTTATTTGCTCAAATAAAAGATAAGAATTTGTTTAAAAAGGTGCCACTATAGAAGCATTGAATCCTTAAACAGGGCTGACCACATTCTGTACATCGAATACCCTTAAATCTACAGGATGACGAGTGATGGAAATAAGCCAATTATTCCAGTCATCAGTTCTCTTAATCTTGGCGCATCTGCTCCAAGGAGCAGTTACTCAGCAGTGTAGATCCGAGACATCAATTTTAGGCTGGATGTTGCAGGGACACGTCTACAAGACAATGCAGACAGATCGTCCACACGCATGCGTATTTGCCTGTTACAAAGATGACCGATGTCAAAGCTTAAACTGGGTAATCTCTCTCCTCGCTTGCGAGTTCAACAACAGAACAAAGGAAGCAAGACCCGAGGATTTCATTCCAAACGCAGACAGATCTTACTTCAAACGAGAGAGTGACCGAGGTAAATATAACGATGAAGGGGTTCGACATCTGTTATCAGTTAGGAGATAGTCATGCAACCATTAATTCAGCCTGCAGTGCAGGCCAAAAGAAACGCGCGCGTTAAACGAGCGCTTTCACGGTACAACTTTGAAGTGTTTCTCTCCTCCGATGGCATTCTCAATGATAAACATGAGAGGGGTTAGAAGGTGATAGTATTTATCAAAGATGGCGGCTGCAACAATATTACGAACACGAACAAGGTTTCGCCTGCACTGCAGGCTACCATTAATTAAGCAAAGCACCAAGCTTTTTGAGAATATTCCACTTTTCAGCACAAAACAACCTAATCTGGCTATTTAATGTAAAATCAGGTGAAAAAATCGGCAAAAGGCGATTTTTAGGTTTTTTGATTAAAATGTCAGTGGCGAAACTACCGGTATGCCAACCGGAATAATAGGATAGGTCCGCCTGTGAACGAAGATGTGGTGAGTGTTCTACGAACCCGAAAGTTTAGGTTGTGCTCTGTTGGGATGATCCAATTTTGATTTATTTTCTTGAATTTCCAAAAAGAAATTGTCCTTCCATTGTGATTCTTTTCTAATTACACTTGTGCTTCGAACTGGTCTATTTCTTACATTGGGTATTGCTTGACTGTGTTGACCTCGATACACAATTTTAAGAGGGTCTCAGTGGGTTTAAACAGCCAAAATCTCCAGTCATTCGGCCAAAAAAATGAATGTTTTAAATCGTGTGTTAGTCGTTAATTTTAAAAAAAGGCAACCGAAAAAATTTTTCTATCCACAATTTTATCATGTAGAGGGTCTTCGTTGTCTTGTCTCGTAGTCGATGGACCCTATTTCAGGCTTTGTTTTTGTTTCTTTGTTTGTTTTTGTCTTCCTTGAACAGGTTAAAACCGATGGAAACTTTTTCAAAACAATTGATTTTTCCCTTCAAGTGTCTGTTAAACATAACGGACAGAAATTTATATGAAAAAATCGTTAGCCGCATGAAAGCCAAAATGTGGTCATATTTGCGGTATTGTTTTCACTTTTCTGAGGTCGGGCTCAGAGAAAGCTTGCTCGCAGCGTATTTAAAATCTTTGTCACTTATTATTGACTAAAACATAACATCAACGTTCCAAAAAGTTCCAAAAATTTAATATTTGTAAAGGTAATAGCATGATTTGTGGTGATATTTGGCATAAATACCACGAGTGATATTTCAAAATTGTTATACGTAATTTCACGAGTCGTTAGGCGAGAGAAATTTGAGACAATTTTGAAATATCACAAGTGGTATTTATGCCAAATATCACGTACAAATCATGCTATTATTTGTTTATACTACTACCCACAAAAGTTTTGTAATTTTCACATGCAGGTATTTCAAATTAAGCTGAAATACCACTGCTCTAAGCTAATCAAATTGCAGTAATTTCTCATGCAGTAATATAAAACAATTAATGAATGAGGCTGAGTATCTTATGAAGAATTATGGAGATCGAGGAGGGTGTTATCCTTCGAGGCCGTAGGCCAAGGCGGATAACACCCTCCGAGATCTTCATAATTCTTCACATGATACGAAAGCCTCGTTCATTAATTGTTAAATATTAAATAAAAAGCTATTAAAATAAACGTTAACAAACATACAATTTAACTTAGAGTTGTTAATATTGATTAATGGATTTGAATTTTACTCGCTAATACGGTAGAGTCTCACTTCAGCATTTTTCCCCAAGATAAATTAGTTTTTAACTAGAAAAGGTTTGGGGGAATAATAATCCCTATGATGGCCTAAACGCTTTGAAAAGTTTTTTTTTTAATAATGCAGTTTATTTTTCTCTGATTTTGCCACACACGAGAGCAGTAACTGCTGCCTGCATCATGAAGCGCCCGAACATAAAACCAAGATAGATGAAAACCCTCTATTTAACCTATTACTAGTAATGGTTGACCCAAGAGCTACCCCCGCTCTGTATATTGTCGGTCAATAGTATTCTTGCTCGTTGTGTAGCTCTTTGAAATATACCCATTCATAATGAAGATTTTCACACATATTGCATACAATAGCTAGGTGAGATGAATACAGGAAACACAAGGTTCCAGCATGCACAGTTTCAGTTCGATTTACCCAGCTTTGATCAAAACATTCTCAGTTTCGAGAACAGTTTAAACCATAAGAAAAGATTTAATTAGAAGTTGAATTTTTCGCCATTTCTCTTTCACTTTTTACATTCAGTTCATTTTATTTGCCGGAAAGTAAGCCTTAGAAATTAAAAGGACGTTTGATTGATTTCACGCTCGCGCATTCTAGTCTTATTTTAAACTTTATAGCGGAAGGACATATGTGAGAAGGGAAGAAGCACAGAATTTGATGTCGGCGAATTTCTGTAATCGTCCGTCGTTCTGCTAGTGATAAGCTAGCCTTTGTTGACTCGTCTTGCTTGTTTGGGGCCGAGTCTTATTCCGGTCAAAGAGAGAGAAAGAGTGTCTGGCAAGGTTTCCAATCAAAGATTTGTGAACTCGTGTCTGGCAAACTCTCCAAGTGTTTATATGTACACAGTTATACGCACCTTAAACTTCATCTGCGCTCAACGAGTGTCTTTGGTCCATAACCTTCAAAACAACTGCTCCACAGAATGTCACTGATAACACGTAACGCAAAAGAGTATCCAAGTATGACTACACAATAAATGTCACTAAATCTACCTAAGCGGTCCCTTCGGGATTTTCATCCATTTCATACTTGCGGGCGCAAACAATAGAAACGTCTTCATTACCCACCGATTCCTCGCGGCCCCTGTTCGAGCAAATCGAGATTTTTTTCTGGCATACTGACTGTATATTTGAACTGTAAGTACTTTCCTAAATATACGCGCGAGTTACTAGAGTGCCTCCTCGGTATTTCGCCTTCTGGGCGAAGTTCCTGCGGGGGCAACTCGTTACCTGTGTGAAAACGATTTTAAAAAAAGGAGACGCGGGGCTGGCTTACATCGAAAACTGTGCGCACCTCTGGAAAATTTCTAACTCACCTCTGGTAATGTCGCTATATTTCTTAGCTGTCCATTAATTTTTTTTCCAAGATCTCAACTATCAGTTAAGAAAAAACTTAAAACTGTCCGTTAAATCTCATCTGAAAAGGCCCCAAAAGATTTTTGACTATCTTAAAACTAAGGCCAATTCAAACGACACCGGAGGAATCAGTTTCCACCGGCTGAAAAATTTAAGCTGGGGATACTTGGTTCACAGGGGACTCTTCAATATATTCGCCCTTTTCACACGAAACATTGAACGGCTAGGCGTCTAAATTTTCGAACGCTTAAGCTGGTTTCCTTGTGAACGAAAAAAACTAATCGCACAAATTTTCATTCTTGGTAAAATCCAAGATGGCGGCCAAAATTGCGACCATTGTTGGTGACGTCACCGGCCCCCAGCAGCGCAGATTAAAGGCTTTCCACTGAGAGCAAAATCGTTTCGAAATACTGAAACTTATCAAAAATCAGGAAGAGAGGCCGTCCTGCCTTCAGTAGAAAGCCTTTAATCTTGTTCCATCATCATCATCATGTTCCCACCCCCCCACCTCCCCCTGTACCATGCTAGGGGTATGAATTTGCGTGTACGTCCGAGAGTTAAAGTAATTTTCTCATTTGTTTCTTTCCTTCAATTTTCAACAGTCCCTCTTGGTTCCATTGCTGAACTTCCGGCTGAGACTTGTTATGAAATAAAAAATAGTGAGGGGAAAGCTCCTAGCGGCAACTACTGGCTTTCCGCCATAAATTCTAGTATGCCTGTCCTTACTTATTGTAATCTAGAAGGTAAGATATCTACGAAATACTTAGCACCTATCCCTACAAATATACTGAGTCTACGTAGCCTGGGGATGGGTATATCAACTCTTCTTGGGGCGCACGGGGGACAATTTGGGAGGAGCCGAGAAAATACATGTACTGTTGCAACAACATTGCAGCTCGAGTTCAGGGGGCAAAGATTTTTTTTATGCCTCTCACCATTCATCATCTAACAAACTCCGCTTTAAGAAAAAAAAAATGTGGTTGCGTATATACAAACATTTTCTTCGGCTTCGCAATGCCGAAAAAAGTGAAAACATTCCCCATTTTTTTCGACTCCTTCCAAACTAATACTTTATCAAAGTAAATCCTTTGGAGGATCGATAATTCTTTAGTTTAAACTGAATTTGAGGATCTGACGTAATGTGAAAACTAGCAATAAATTTGCATAGTCGCTGCCCATGTGAGTGATCTAGTATGGGGCGTTGGCTTTACTAGGTCTCAAAATATAAGTCAAGCAAAAACAACAATAAAATTCGATGCAGTCAATCTATACCCTGGTCCCAGAGGTTTTTCTTGAAATCTTTCTTCGCGAAAGGAAAAAAAAAGTTTTCTTCGCGACTCCTTGTCGCCGCTTTGAGGCTCGCTTTCTCTTTGGCAAAGAAAAATGTCAAGAAAAACCTCTGGAACCAGGTAGTCAATCTAATAATCGCATTTGCTTTCGTTTAATTATCCAGAAAGAAGCTGCAGTGACATTAAAGCTCAAAATCCTCAGGCCACGAGTGGCTCTTACGTCATCGACCCAGATGGCGACGGAGGCAACGAGCCTTTTACTATCTTTTGTGACATGGCTGACAAAAACGGTGTTGGCGTGACGGTAGTAGGTCACGACAGCGAAGCTAGAACGCTAGTTGATGGCTACGAAGAACCAGGGAGTTACGTGAAATATATCACCTACACTACAACGGGGCTTACCGGCGTGGCACAGTTAACAGGGCTGGCAGATGTTTCCGCCCACTGCGAACAGTTTATTAAGTATGAATGCTATGGTGCCCTTCTTTTCAGCGATGATGAATGCTGGTGGGTATCACGTGACAAAGAAAAGATGATCTATTGGGGCGGAGCTAGACCAGATGATTACAAAAAGTGCGCATGTGGGGTCACATCGCCAAACTCGTGCGTAGACCCTAATTATGGATGTAACTGCGAGATGAATGATGCCACGTGGCGCGAAGAC